ATTTGACCTTTCTTTCATTATGAAAAACTTCTGTTATCTTTGTAATTAAAATCAAATCTTGTAAACCACCATCGATTTTTGATCAATTTTATAGATGTTATTTTTTATTTGAAATAATAAAATTTTATTGAATAACAATTATCTTCTAAAAGTTTTCCATGGCGTTGCATGTTAACACTAGGGTTTGTCGGTTTTCAAAAATCGGTTTTAAAAACCGTTTTTTTGGCGAAAATTATGAAATTCAAAAACCGTTTTTTTAGTGAAAAAAGTCGGTTTTCACTGTATAAATGGAAAATGACAAATATAGCCAAATATAAAAGATGAAAGCGTTTTGATTCTTGAAATCATATCGGTTCAATAGCATTTGATATCTTATCAGTCTGCAATGTTTCCCTGAAACGTTTTGTATATATTAATGTAGATTTTTATACCACTGTATATAGTAATTTAAACCAGTGTGACTTCTTGAAGAAGTAGCTTCCTCTACTCAAAATAAAAAAAAAAGTCACAAATTAACGAACAAAAAACTTAGAATTATTATATCAGGCTTTAAAAACAATTAAGCATAATTTAGTTGCAAGTATGAGAGGTTTATAGAGTATTATATATTATGAGAGTATATTTTTAAAATCATATTTTATTAAACAAAAAAACAATTAGAATGTTTAAAGTTAATTAATTAAAATTGTTCGGAAGACAATACCCGAGTTTTGCTTAATTATTTTTAAAACTAAAATTGATATTAACAAGTATTACCTTAATATACATTATTTTTTTTAATCTAATGCATTTTTTTTATTTAAAAATATATTATTTTTATTTATTTGAAAACTTTCCTTTCACTATCATAAAAATATTTTCATTCTTATATGTAAAAATGATGCATGAGTAACGATTAATTATTTTCAAAGTTATTTAATTAAAATAAACTATTATTTTTTAGTTATACTAATTAAAATTAAAATAATTTTGTTTACTATCTATAAAATTGAACAATAAATAAATTCAGTCAAATTACACTAAATGTGCGGATAAATTACAGAATATTTGAGCAAAAATTTATTTTCTATATAAAATTTGAAAACCGGTTAAAACGAAACGAATATTATTATTATCATTAAAAATTTAGTAGTGATTTAAATTCTATATTATGGTATTTTCATATTTTTAGTTTCCTTTTACAGAGACATTGTGCACATATACATTATTTTTAAAATCATCAAAACTACTTATTGTTATTCCAAATAAATAATTATTGAGAATTATTATTCCCAATCAAATTTATCCCTTATTGAGAACATTCGGCAGCAGCTCTTAATCTAAATCTGCGCGTTTTGTATCGGTCATATTTAATAATAAATGATAATCGTTCGTCCGCATTCTTTAGCGTAATAATAAAGTGTTAAAGAGAAGAGATCCGTTATGGCTGCCGAGTCGAAAAGAGAAAGGCCCCAAGAAAACAACCTGCGGTTCTGCGGTTGATGCGAAGTAGAAGTATCGACTGCCACTCCGCGCAAGGCCGACTACCAGAACAGGTTGACGACTGTTTATTTCAGTGCACTTTTTGCATTCGATGCTGGGGAATGATAATTTAGTGAAACCAATTTGTTTTGCTCCGAAAAATTACTCTTATTTATATCTGTTCAACAATAGTGTTCAAATTTTCATTCAGCGATTTTTTGCGATTTTTGTGCTTGTGAAAAGTTTGGTGCATGAAACTAATATGCAATAATCTAACAAAAGTATTTGGAATAACAATTAGTGAGTTGTGCTTTTAAAATAAACCTAACTGAAGAATATTATAATATGTTTGTGTTAGTTTATTATGCAAATTTATGAAGATGTAATATTAACATTCGATAAAATTGCATTATTTCCACTGAAAAATAGTTTCTATAAAATTGATTCGTTCTAGTTATAAGAATAACATAAGTTTTTCACAATGGAAGAAGAGTCAACCCCAATATGTCGCTGCCGCGTTTTATACTTAGGTAGCGCAGTACCAAGTCAAAGCAAAGACGGCCTTCAAGGCATACAGGATCCGTTAAATAACATTTATCCTTCAGAAAGCCCTGCAGGAATCGACTCTTGGCTTAGCGTCTGGTCAAATGGAATCCTAATCGAAAACATCGACGAAAATCGAAGGCACATAACTCGATTTTTCCCCATAGACACCCTCCATTATTGCGCAGCAGTACGGTTTGTCAAAAAACAGCGCCAAAACCAACCAAATTTTCTACCACTAGATTCACCTCTAGCAAGGACACCCAGTAAGGTAAAGCATCCACCTTTGTTCGCAGCGATTTTAAGGAGAACTTCGGGAATTAGAGTTTTGGAATGCCATGCATTTATTTGCAAAAAGGAGATTGCAGCCAATGCTCTGGTCAGGAGTTGTTTTCACGCCTATGCAGATAGTACATATGCCAAAGAACAGGCTGAGGCAGAGAAAAATAAACTGGATGCGTATGCCGGTAGTTCGTGCGGAACTGTGGCCAGTTCTGTAGGACGAAATTCAAGATCAGGAAGCTCGGATCCCAAGCATGAAGAAAATGACGAAGTTGAGATTACTGGATTATAGATAATAATCTTGGCGTAACAAATTGCGCAAACGCCCATTAAAAATTGTACAATTCTTTGTAAATATGCTTTGTTTCAGTTACCTAATTATTTAAGAAACTTATCTAATTTTATACGAATAACAACATCAAATGAGCAATTATTTTTTGATGTCGCAACAATAAGCTATTACAATGTTATATAGTTATAAGCATAGATTAGGTCAAAACCCGTGTTTTAATTTCATGATTTCATCTGATTATTCGCTCATTTTGCTATTTTTATATCCGAAAATGTTTGATTTTGTTCCTACTATTATTAGTATATATATTATAGAATTATTCGTAAATAATCGATTACTAATTCTATACTAATAAACCGATTACTAATGCTATAAAGACTTTTTACAGATCCTTAATAATTTGTTACATTAATATTGTTATTACAAAGCATTAACAGAAGTTACCTAATGTTACCATTATTTATATATTTTTTGTGAGTTTATAATGTATCATTATATGAAACTATTAAAACCATGTAAATTATTTTTAGTTAATTCTATCAGGCTACAATAAGTAAGACTATCTGTACATATATTACTGGCAAAAATATACTGTTCTTAATAGTAAATCACGATTTTTAATTCAATTTATCTGCATATATTGAGAAATGTTTTATTAAAGTCATTCACCTTCGGGAAATAAAAGTAATAATAAGCAGCATGTATAAAATAGCTCTGAGAGAAACTATTACCGATGAACATAAGAACTCTTACGTGCTTGTAACAGCGCGACGCACATATTTTTTATTATTAATAAATATGATATCAAATCTATAACTTTCAATGGCCTCGTCATATCATAATTATTAGTTCTATTAATGTAGTCTAACCGTGACAATATAAAATAAGCAATTCTACTTTGCTTTCCTTTATAATTTCGGCATAATAATAGATATCAGACCTTGCGATTTCTGTTATAGAAGGGCAAATATTTTTAATTTCAAAGTCTGATATGTAAATAGTTTATGCAGAGTTATTGTGTACAAATGCGCAAATTTTTATATACTGTCTTCCTTACTTATATTAGTAGATTGCAGTAATTATAATACTCTTATAGAACATAGTAATGAGTAATATAATATGAATTAATAAGCATGAACAAACATTAATAACGGTCCCGGTGCTTCATGCCTATTATTGGCAATATCTAATGAATTGAAAGAAAATTAATCGATTTTAACCTCCGTTAATTAAGCAAATGATTAGAAATGAAATCTCGGCCATTTAATGAGGAAGAAAGTTGAAAATTAGCGTATCGGTTTTTTCGTACAGGCCTTTAAATTGGTATATAAATTGAGCCTTTTGCATACATTTCATAATTTTAAAATTACAATCTACAAACCGATGTTTTAAGAAAATTATTACTTCTACGGACGAAAGAAAGTATCAGCTATTTCTTTTCCTTGCACAACAGCTAATGCAAGAAAATTCTTCAAACATGATTATTTGCACAAATAACGTAATAATCATCGCATTCGCGTATAACGTTATAAATTATTTATAGATGAGTTACACTAGGAGAAATCACTTTTATTATTAATTATCCGTTAAGAAATTTTATAGTAAGTGCCTATCTATAAAATAACAGTAAATTTGCAAAAGGCAAACTATTATTTTTATTTTACGACGACCGGTAAATACAAAACACGGCGAAGTACAAATAAAATTTGAACGAATTTACGATGACACATTTTAGGCACCATGAAGCATAAATTTGGGAATGCCGATTTTAAGGCGTAATCAGTCCGTGACAAATAAATGAAATAGAAATATATTTATAAAAATATTTTCGATAACAATATGTTAAACTAATTAGTTGCGCCTTCGAAATTGTGTATTAACAAATTTTATGATTTGGCAAGGCAACCTTCCTATTTTATCTTTTAGCAATAATTATAATAAATAATAATTTAAGTAAGTGCAATGCAGATGTGCTTTTAAACCACGTTAATTTCAAGTAAAAAATATTACAAGTGTTCTTTTTTTCAGACAAAATTACAGGATTTACTGCGGTATGAAATATATTGATTCATAACTTACATATTTTGTAAAATATACATAATATTCAGTTTAAAAAAATCAGAATATTAAAATACATAAATTGACTAATTTATTTCTTTGTAGAAGAATAAATCAATTTTTTTACTAATATTTTAATGTATATATTAGACCAAATTAAATCTCGAATTTTGGCCGCACTTTAGAATTTTAAATATCACATAGTATTAAAGTTTATTAATTAGTCATTTTAGAAATATTTAATATTTTATTTATTTGTTTTTTTTCAATATTACATATAAAGATATTAACTAATTAAGTTCAACATCTGAATCTGAACTAGTTTCCAAATCATCATCCTCAGACATACTCTCACACTCATCATTGCTCGATTCTGAATCAGACCCAAACCATTCAGATTTTGAAATATCACAAGGAATTAAAACTTTCCATTTGTCCATTTTACGAATATCTAAAGAATATAAATCAGATAAAGTTATTTGTTTGGAACCTATCTCAAATAGTCCTCCATAAAGATATAATTGTCCTCTGCATATCACTAAACCAGCATTCATTCTTGCTCTAGGCCAATTTTCATCTCGTACTTCCACAGTGCTTTTAGTAACAGAACTACTTGTGCTTGACACACTTCCTCCAATAACCATTTTGAATACGCCATCGGTGGAAACTACAAATATGAAATAAACAATGTCGATATTAGTATTTATAATATTTTTGGTTAATGTAACTATTTTTTATTAACCAGTTGTTTGTTGTACTGCAGTCTCAATGTTGTCCAAATTTGTGTCTTGTTGCGGAGCCTGAGTATTTTCCAAACTTTCAGATTTTTAATCTCTTTGTTACCTGGAAACAATATTACATATAATCAAAAATAAAAAGACATATTTACATTTATTAAGACATTACTTACCACTTAGTTGCACTTTATTCCAAAAAATATTCTCAAGATCCAGATGAAGTAAATCATCATTAAAGGAGCCTTGCAATTCATCTTCTGTTTCCTCAACATCAGTAACACCACCAAATATGTAGGCTCGCAAGTTACCAGTAGCACTAGTACAAGCGGACATACCACTTCTAGGACCGGGACGTATGCCTCCAGGTTTAATTGATACCCATTTGTAAGCATTTGCATTAGTACTATGTTCTTTAAATCAAAACAAAAAGTAAGTATTATGATTAAATCATGTGGTATTTCATTATAAAAGTATTCTTACTATCAGCACATAATGCAAACATGTCAGTATGGGTGGTTCCTTTATCCACTCCCTTTTTTATTACAGTTTTACTGTAACCACCCCAAACAATAAGACGATCTTGGCTACCAACAACAAAACAAGAACCAGATCTAGGTGAGGACCTATACCACCTGGCTCAACTTTCGTCCATACATAATCTTCTAATGAAAATATATGTAAATCATTAAAATATTTGTAATCTCTAAGATTATCATGAAATCCTCCAAATATAAATAGTTTCTTCTTATGAGCAAGCTTTAAAAAAAAACATACAAATCAACAAAAATAAATTAAATTATATCAGAT